ACTAATATTATAAATCTGAAAGTGAGCTTGTTTGTTTGTTTGTTTGTTCTACCTTCATGCCGTAACTACTCAACCGAATACTTTGAATTTTGCAGACGTAAAGTTAGAAGTCCGGATTAAATAATAGGGTACTTTTTAACCCGGAAAAATTGATATTCCCGAGGAAAACAAAAGTATTGGTATAGATGGCGCTGTGTGTACTGGTATATGTCACATAGGCTAATTTTTATTCTTTTGTGACGCGAGCGAAGCCGCGGGTAAAAGCTAGTATGATATAAAACGCAACATGCACTTATAGGTTACACACCCACTGATAGGTTATAAGTACCTCGACTGTCTCTCGATTCCATTATCAGATCGATCTACATAAAAAATAACTTTAGAGATAGAGGTCTAAAAACCTTTTCTTTCAGCAGCTCAGCGAATTTCCAAAAATAACAGTTTTTACCTGTATCGATATAAATACCCACATAACTACATTAAGTACTTGGAGATTATCACCAAGCAATTTGCCCGAAAACGAAACTTAGGCTAGCTTTACATAATATTACATAACATAACTTTACGCCTTTTATGCCCTAAGGAGTAGGCAGAGCCCAGGGGTGCACAATACGGCACTTAATGCAACTGTACAATGTAACACTCACTTTTCACTATTTATGTTATGAGTCCGATGTAATAGAGGGTGAGCCTATTGCCATATACCGGGCACATTTCCAGACCCCGTGCTACTACTGAGAGTTTTTAAAAAAACGCAGTAATACTTTGCCCGACCCGGGCCGAACCCGGCAGTCGCACTTGCAACCACTCGGCCAACGAGGCCATCGAGTTATTGCATATATTATTATAAACTACATAATTCCAATTTCAGACCACCTCCCGCAACCGTCAGCCCTCTAGCGTTCAGAACATGTTCTCCTCACTCCGCCTAGTTGAGAGGGTCGTCAAGAAACAGTTGAAGGAGGGACAGATATCTGAGGAACTCGCTAACAAATTCAACTGGGAAAAACTGTGAGTACCACTCATTTTCATTTATACATATAAGTAAATCTTGGCTGTTGTAGTTTTTAATGGATTTTTGACTTTAATTAAAAGTATATAAAGTTGAGAATCCATTAAATACATGTGTATAATGTATACCTACTTATTTATATGTAAAATGCATGCGACAAGTTGTACGCAAATCAAGTTACTGCTGCGACTTTGCAGGCATTTTAAATAATTATTTGCGATCGAAATATTCAGATTTTGACAAAAATTCTATACATATAAAGTCGAAAATCGATGTCAATCTACAAACTTTCGATTGAGAGTTTCTTTATTAATTTTGATCATAAAATAATAAGTATTTTGAACTTTAAATGTTGTGTTTCAGAACTGTAATATAAGATTTTCTATTACAGAACTACCCGGCAGAGGCGTGAAAATCGACCAACGTTTTACTTAGACAAAACTACAAATATGAGAATGTTTAACTTACATTAACTATAACATAATTATACTACATTTACTTATACTGAATAACATCGAGTGAAAATGTAATTAGGGCCGATTTTTCCAAAACCAGATAAATTTTAACTGAGAAAAAACTTTGTTGACAATTCTTCCATAAATTATTATGTTTTCGGCTTACTCACGTAATAATTTGACGAGGATAGCCATGCGAAATGCTGCTCATGAATATAAGCCTCTAGCATGGCTTAAAACTAGTCGAGTTCCTGGTCAAATTATTACGTGAGTAAGCCGAAAACATAATAATTTATTTAGTACGTCTCACGAAAGTTACAATACAAATTCATCCATACTGTCTGTAAAACTGTCGAAAGTCAATTTTATTCTACAGTTAAGAATTAACTGATGATTGAAAAATCGACCCTAAATATAATAAGGATTACATATAAGATAAAAAGTTACTATTAATATTTATTAGCCAGTCAAAATTCAGTTTAAATACATACAAATTAGGGATGAAAATATTTATTGTTGTGAAAGAATGGCAATGCACAGATATGTAGGCGCTTACTCTTGAAACCAATCTGAATGTAAATGCAATTTCCATTTTTTATATATTTAATGGGCCGACACTTACCACCAGGCGACCAGTATCTCGCCTGGTGGTAAGCGATGATATGGTCTACGATGGAGCACGTCGTTCCATAAGCAACCTATTCACTCGGGCCTTGAAGACACCCAGGTTAAATGTCAAAACTATACAACCCCAATCATAGCTGTTAAGATAACATTCAGAGTATAGAATATAAAACCAAACTCAATACCATTTAGTTCATTCAATATCCACGCAACACGGATGCAATTCAAGAGTACAAAATTTCACAATACCAATGTCGATCGATCGGAATTGGATTCAAGAGTAAACCCCTTGTTCCTGTCATCAACAGTGATATCAAAATGACTAATTTTTATTTTAATGTCCGTCTGATAGATTATTTAAAAACATTAGACACGTATTTTTTATTTTCTCACAGAAACGAATAGTTTCGAAGATATATTGATTTGAAATGTCGCGTGACGTCACTTCTCAGTACATTTTATACTAAGGAATGACGTTTTAGCCCCCACTCCTAAACTTTGATTCGTTTTATCTAAGTATTGTTTTATTATACGACAAAATAAAAAAATACGTGTCTATTATTTTTTCATTACCTAACTTACGGACTAATTATATTTTTTAATTTTCATACCCTGTCATCATCCCCATTATGAGACAAATTAGCTCTTATTGAATAAAACCTTAAAAGAGTTTTATGATAAAAAAACATGTCCAGCTGCCTTTTGTTTATTTTCAATCCTATTTATTACCCCTTCACACTAGCACATATCCAGCGCAGTCGTGAATGGGTTCTTACTGTTTCAAACGCAAATGGGTCCAAATAACCAAAGATTATGAAAATGGGTTCAGCCGTTCTTGAGGTAGGAATGAAATTAAATACTAATTATTATTCTTTGTACTACATTTATTATTATTATAGACTAGCTTCTGTCCGCGACTTTGTACGCGCAATCCCGTTTTCTTCTGTCCCATAAGATTTTCAAATTATGTATTTATGTATGTATTTATGTATGTATTTATGTATGTATTTATGTATGTTAAAATTTATTTATGTATGTATATCTTCAAAGTATATTAGTTTATCCTTCATTGTTAAATAAAATCACTGCTTGCCTCTTGCACCTACCAATTACTCTTCTCTGCATCACCCAAAGGTCAGACTGGTAGAAAATGCCTGCGGCATTAAGTCCACCTTTTTGTACACTTTGTGCATGAAGCATTTAAATAAATTTTCAGGATTTTTTTCTATCATAAGAACCTTCTCCTGACAATAACAAACACAACAAAAAAAATCAGCCAAATCGGTTCTCAAGTTATGGCGTGACAACGGGAAATGGGTTTCATTTTATATATTAACTAGCGGACCCAACAAACGTTGTCCTGCATATCCACTTAAATGTATAAACAAAAATTTATTCAAAATAGTTCAGCTGTTTAGGATAAATAACCTAAACAACGACTGCAGCGCCATCTGCCGGGCTGATTTGTGAATCTAAACCATTCCCAGATCCCCTTGAACACACACAAAAAATTACAAACAAAATCGGTCCAGTCGTTTGAGAGAAGTTCAGTGACATACACACTCACAGAAGAATTATATATATAAAGATAGAAGATAGATAAAGTAGTCATAAGTGTTTTTTTAAGAAGAGACATGCAAATCAGTATTTAATTTCTAATTATTTATTTTTAATACTTGTGACTGATGTATTCATTTTGTAAATTATTTAAAAAAGAGTGTGATAATAAATAACATTGTAGTTTTAGTCTTCCAGATTCTATAATATTACTCACTAGATTTAATTCTCTGATTTTTACATACATGTATAACAATAAGCCTTGTATCCCCGAGGTGGTAGACAAAGATGTACCTTACGGCACTTAATGCCACTGTCTGTACAATGTTACACCCACTTTTCACTATTTATGTTATGTAGTAGTCTCATGTAATAGGGGGTAAGCCTATTGACATATATCAAGCACAGTTACAGACTCCGTGCTACCACTGAGATTAAAAAAAACTGTATTACTTTGCCCAACCCGGGAATCGTAGCCGAGAACCCCTTGCCCAGCAGTCGCACTTGCAACCACTCGGTCAATGAGACAATCCCTGATTTTTCTGGTAAAATATATTTTGCTACGGTAGTAGGAAGTTCGAATTGGCACATAGCAATATGATGCATGCTGAAGATGAGTTCGCAACTTCCCAATTATTAATAACACGTTTGAAATCGCAAACCCGCCTTGAGCAAGCGTGGTAATTAATGCTCAAACCTTCTCCGTGTGAGAAGAGGCTTTTGGTCAGCAGTGGCCACTTATAGGCTGTTAACGATGTTCAGAAGATACGTATAATGACATGTGTTTTTGTGAACCACTTTTACCTAATTATAGAAATGTCGTAATTTCAATGTCAAAGTCAAAGTATTTATTTCAATTAATCCGTATTTAAGCACTTTGAAACGTCAAAAATTGAATTGTCTGTCCGTCTGTCTGTCAGTGAAGCTAGACTAACAAATATCGAACCAATGCTTGGTGGTTAAGGCGTCGAAGACCTAGCTCTTCATAATTTTTTTTTTACGTCAAAAAGTCTAGATTAATCATAATTTTAAGTATGAGAGAGCCATGCTTTGGCACGAATGGGCCGGCTCGACAGGAACGATACCACGGCCGAGCAGAAAACCGACGTGAAACAACGCTTGCGTTGTGTTTCGTCGTATGAGTGAGGTTACCGGAGGCCCAATTACCCTCCTCCCTAGTCTCCCGAATCCCCGAATCCTCCACAATCCTCAAATTCTCAATTCCCAAAAGTCCGGTAACGCACTTGTAACGCCTTGGTGTTTCGGTTATCCATGGGCGGCGCCGATTGCTTACCATCAGGTGATCCGTCTGCTCGTTTATCAGCTTATGTTATAAAAAAATATGTACCGACCTTCTCTTGCGGTGGGTGGTCGGCGTTGTGTTGCTGGGCGCGCGAGGCGGCCAGCGTGGCCAGCTCCGACATGTTCACGTACAGGGCTTGTGGCATTTCTGGACATATAACAAATCAAAATAAATAATAATATACTACAATATTAAAAGTTAAGTATTCCCTACAATATGGTAAAATAATCAACTTTAATTTAGCTTATAGCAAAACTATGTGCGTGGTATTGCTATTAAAATTGTCGCAGATATTGTCAACCATGAATATTTTGAGTCATTTTTGTATTGACCTACTGAACTTTGTCTGAATGAAGAAAATCTTCAGAATTCTTTTTCCCCGAAGTTTAAACAAGTTATTTTCTAATTCGAGAGAAAAATGGCACAAATCAGACCAATAATGGCCAGAACACAATATTTAATCACCACTTTCTTAATGGCAAACAGAAATAATACAGAATCAGTCCTACATAAATTTAACATAACATAACATCACGCCTTTTAACCCCGAAGGGGTAGGCAGAGGTGCACATTACGGCACTTAATGCCACTGTACAATGTAGCACCCACTTTTCACTAAAGGTATTTATGTTATGAGTCCCATGTAATAGGGTCACCCCTATTGCCATATACCGGGCACATTTCCAGACTCCGTGCTACTACTGAGGTTTTTTTTACAAACCCTGTATTACTTTGCCCGACCCGGGAATCGAACCCGAGACCCTTTGCCCGGCAGCCGTAGTCGCTGTTAATTTAAAGTACATAATATAGTTTACCTTTAGTAAGATGCGGTGGTAGTGAGGATGGTTTGCTCGGCTTGAACTCTTGTTGGCAAGTGTTGGCGTTCCCGGACTTGTTGGGGACTGCTGGACGCTCCAGGGAGGAACATCGCTGTAGGTATTACATTAATTATTAATAATAGCAAGAATTTATCATCCTACATCTACCTACGTGTGTATGTGTGTGTGTGTGCAGGTGTGGGTAGCTACCAAGTATATCATTTTTATTAAGTCAAAGTCAAAATCATTCATTTCAATTAGACCAGGATGGCACTTTTGAACGTCAACAACAAAAAATTTAGAAGTGAAGCTAGTTGCTCATTCCAAGGTGTAGATTCCTATGGAGAAGAACGAGCAAGAAACTCAATAGGTTGCTCTTTTTCAATCGGGTTTACAATACAATCCTCTAGTTACATAGTTTTGTTGGTTCGATTGTGTAAGAACAATGCAACACCTAGAACTTTTATAAATTCAAATACTAGACGTCATCCTACCTTTTGTAAATGAAATTGAGATCAAACTTTTACCAACATAGATGGCTCTTGACATAATTATGTTTTATTTAACCCCCCGAGCGTCCTTATGAGCACCCGGTGGATCATAAGAAAAAATTCTCCATGCTGCTTTCTCTTTTATAAAATCTATTATTAATGTTTTGTTTTTATTTTGACTGTATTTTTTATTTCTATTGTAATGATCCTTGTTTTCGTGTGCCAATGGCCAAACAAATGCATTTTCTTTCTTTCTTTCTCCAAATGTCACGTGTGCACCCGTCGCGTTGGATCATAAGGAACGCGGACGCTCAACGGGTTAACAACCGACTAGTTGGCTTTGGGTTGATCAGATTTTGACTTTGCTCATCGTTGAATAGTTCCTACTCTCGGCCGTTACAGACATAGTATAAAGAACACAGTAGGTTATCTAAGGCCGCCCGCCGAGTTATTAGCCTACTCTTGCGTTGATCCCCAGGGTTGTCACTTTTACTTTTTGTTAATATTTTCGAACAAGCAGCACTTGATCTAAATTTATGAAATGAAAAGCATTTATTATGATTGAATATTTTATCAATTTATAAATTTAGTAAAAATAAAAAGCTTATAAAATGATTATTAACTTCTTAAAATAAACTTTAGCTCTATACATAGTATTCAGAAAGTAGGTAAATTTGGGAATACATTTATATGGAAAAATGCGACACGGCCACGCTCTTAACAAATCAGATAAACTGTGAAATAAACAATACAATACCACATTTTCTTATAATATTTAAGTATAGTAGTTAGTAGGTAATTCTTCTTTCTGGTTGAGTAGGAACTATGAAGAATGATAAGAGTAAGAATAAGTAAGTATGTATCTCATCATCAAGTACCTACAAATTATATTATGCTAGAAAAAGTAACTAGCTTACCTTTCCTGTTCAATAGGTACTTAATCTGAACAGAGACAGTTCTGAAATCGATTAATTATTAAGACACCCAAACACACAGCAATACGTTCTTCTACGGTTATCAGACATTTTTTATTTCATTTAACAGTGCCGAAAAGTGATGCGCGCGCGAACCTCGTGCAGTGTTAGCCCTGCCTGGCGCACTGAGAAACGGGTCGAGATTTTGTTAAAGTGTGCGTGCGTCGACGCATAGATACTATGGCGCACACATATAAGCCGCGCGCGGAGCATTTGTATGAAGATAACCTACTTTGTTCTTTATACTATGTTACAGACCTGGGCCCCAAGTCTGCTAATTTACGTATGGCTCAATTGAATATCAATTGAATCTCAGTAGCAGTTTTAACTACATTTGGTATTCTGCTACTAATTTAAGACCAATGGTTTTCCAGTGACATACCATTGAACTGCTATCGGAATATTTGCTAGTCTGCTCTTCAATCGTGTTACAATTGTAAATCGATTGTGGTCTAAATCGGTATTCTACTCTTATAGTCAGAATTTTAATTAGATTCCAGATTTGACAATAGCTACTGTCATTTTGTAAAATAATGATACCACATATAATAGTGTAGTGATGCACACAAAAATCGATAAACAATCAGTGTGTGTGTTTTATAATAAATGTTACAGAAAGTGACAGGATAGCGACAACGATGACGACAACAATTTATAAAATAACTTATTACCATAATACGTCTATCTGTTTTATTTGTCATGTTCCTTCGTAATTACATTTTTTTATTTATTTCACACATAATTATAAAAGAAACGTCTTAGATCGTTAATTAATCGTCAAAACTAAATTATCGGTTCAGAAATATTAAATTTCCTGATATACTTAGTTCACTAGAGTAAAATTATAATTATTATAAACGAGAAGAATCGATCCAGAAATATTGCATTTCCATATCGAATAATTTCGCAACGTCACTATTTAGTACTTGTCATAACGTTGCCACACTGAAATTGTCAAATCTGGAATCGAATTAAAATTCCGAGTATAGTTGACGTTTGTTTGACATTTATTTCAATGGACACTCAGTGTCCGTTAAGTCATGTTTTATTGTCAAGGCGATTTATTACCGACAATGTAATTCGTTATTTAATAACAGAAAATTATAAAACGTATATTTAAATTAAAAAAATAGTTCATTCACTCATTCAGCTTCTTGATAGATTTTGAATGGCAACACCTTTATCTGTTCAACTGAGAGTCAATTACAATTACACTACGATTCCATTACGACTCAATTGAGTTTCCATTCATGTTTTTGCAGAATACCAAATTTGTTCTAATCGTAATGGAGTCGTGATTAAATCTCAATTGAATTTCAATAGCATGTGAGTTAAATAAAATTAGCAGACTTGACCCCCTGAGTGCTAGTGTAGCGTTTGTGCGGCTGTGGTGCAGGTAAGGTTGTATCCTTAGAGAATAGCACTACAGCTGTTTAATAAAACCGGGTGTCAATCACCTATTAGTTTTTATAATAACTATCGTGAGACATACTAAATTAACTAAGATTACGGGTTACTCACGTGAATGTACTGAGAAAAGCTCTACTACGCGAGAGAGCGTGTGCGGTCACGGCGACGTCGCGCAGCTCACGAGGAAGAACCCCTCTGTGGTTAGAAACTAGTAGAGCTTTTCTCAGTATATTCACGTGAGTAACCCGCAATTTTAATTAATTCACCTATTAGTTATGATAAATTATGGGTAGCTATCATAGTCGTGTCACATCAAATTCTTGTTGGATTAATTTTCGATTTTTAAAAGTCTACAATTTTTTTCGCCACCAGAAATGGACCATCGAATATAAACACACAAAATAAATATTGAAAAACAAAAAAAAAACAATAAGAACATAGAAAAACAGCAGTAGCAGTGCATACATACCGTGGGTAGCGGCGGGCGCGCGTAGATGTGTGCGTCGCGCGCGTCCAGCTCCGCACTGAACGTGTGCACGCTCAGCGCCGCGCGGGGGTGGCCGCGCTCGTACGCTGCACCAATACACGAGGACACATGGAATACGGCACTGTACTACATTTTATTTTAAACTGTCAAACACCAAGCGGTCACCGGTGACCGCAACCTATTGTTCTTTAATTGTGTCTATAAATACGGTACTCGACGAGTTAATGTTCATCTCGTACATTACTTTAAAACATTACACACGTATTTTTTTCTTTTCTTATAAAATTAAATACTTTCGACGGTATATTGATTTGAAATATCATGGGACATCATGATTAACTACATTTTATAGGGTAGCTTGACGTAACAAAATAAAAAAATATGTGTCTAATATTTTTTCATTATCTAATTGACGGACATTTTTAATTTCCATAAACGATAGAATAAACATACTACCGTATTATAATAATAACCTTTATTATTTAGAATATTAGCTGTCTACAAATGTAGACAAAAAAAAATATGTATATTGTTTTGGGAATAACTCCTTACAACCTCCCAAAAGCACTGCAACTCCAGTGCCCCAGGATCTACAGTAGATACAACCATAAAACACCAGAACACTGAAGTTCGTTCTAGGGACATAAACAGTCTTAAGAATCAGCAACACCATTAATGGATTCTACTTCATCACAATTTCAATTCTATAAAATGTCATAAACCTATTACGTAACTTTAAATTATTAACTTGATTAAAAGTAAATTAAAATTGGATTAAAGTATTGACTTGATTGCAAAACGGCACATACCTGCTGAAATAGTATGTGGCCTCCCGCCCATGATGGCGGAGGCTGCTCTCTCGAACTGCGCCGTGTCTTTCAGATCTGGCCAAGTCGCTGATGCTGGGGAGAAAAATAATATGGTAATAGACACATTACTATGCTGCTCAAGGCTATCATATACATCACTGCTACGGACATACATACATCACTATTCTTCATATATAATGCATGTTCTGTTTACATATAAAATATTGATGCACTAGTCTTTGATTTGATCATAAATGTCTGTATTGTAATTTGTATTTTATCAGCTTGACCGGAGTGATGCCACATAAGACCCAAGTACCCCCCCCCCCCCTTCTTCAATCCCTGAATCCCCAACAATCCTTAAATTCCTAATCCCAAAGTGCCGGTAACGCGCTTGTAACGCCTCAGGTGTTCCGGGTGTTCATGGGCGACCCCGATTGTTTACCATCAGGTGATCCGTCTGATCGTTTACCGGATTATCCCATAAAAAAACAGTGCAACTAATTGTTGGTGATCCAAATCAATAAATAAATATACTTATAAACAGCCAAAACGCTATAATAGTCCACGGCTAGACTATGATGAGCCTCTTCTACAAAGAGGTTTGTCGTAGGTAAGGCATGCGGATTGAAGACCGCGATTTAAGGTTCAGGTCATAGAGCACTTTATCTAGTCTCTGTGAAATGTATAGGCTCGTTTTTCTCTTATAAAAAGCCCTACTTATAAAATAAAGATTTAAAAAATGTGTGGTTCCATACTAGGTTCTTAAGAAGGAATCAAAGATGTTAGGGAGCTTCGTAACCGTAACCGATACTACCGGATATCCGATATAAAAAATATCCGAAACCGTAAATGAATCCAAAATAAAAGTTTCTGATACTATCGAATAGAGGCAAGAAACATAAAAGAAACCATTATATTAGCTATTTGTATTTTTTTATTGAAAGTTCTTAAAATTTTAGTATCCGGAACCGAAATTATCCGAAACTAACGGATAATCCGAAATAATTTCTTATACGTATCCGTAACCGTATCCATTATAATAATAGTTTCAATATCCGTAACCAATCCGTATCCGAAATTTCGTATCCATAACATCCCTGGTTCTTACGATCCACACAGGAAACGACTAACGTATCTACCATTAGCATAGACAAGTCCACCATTTCAATTTTCATCCGAAAATTGTCATCATTTATTCTAGGTAGGTACTTCTGGATTTTTTATCGTGTTTAAATAGTATATGGGTAATGTACCTGCATTGCTGATGACGTCATGTCCATCGTCCGTGTGTTCGTCCTCTGTGTGGCTCTTGGCCTGAGTCATACACTCGCTGCTGACGCTCTGATTGTCTGAACCCTGGAAGAACACACGAAGCAATTATTGCAACTTGCGTATTGTTGCTTGAAGGTATTCCTTATTTTTAAACTTTAAACTTTAACTGTAATATGTGAAATATTTTACTTGATTCTACATAAAGGTTTTTTTAAAATAAATCACGATTTATTCAAATAAAAACTTAAATAAAATTAAAACTAACTATTACTAAATTAAATACAACTATACAACTTAAGACATAATAACTAACTAGCTTAACTAGCTGGCAATGCTGCCAGCCTTCTGGGTACTTTCCCCACTGACGTCGATGCGGACGAATTTTTCGATGCTTTATGTAAATAGTTGTTTTTATTTTTCTTTTAATTAATTTTAATCTTAAGTTGTATATATTTAATTTAGTAATACATAAAAGTTGATTATGTATCTTTTAATACTTATCAACAATTTTATTTTAAGTAATTAGTTTTCGATTTCAGATCGTAAATCAATTTCATTTTTGTAAACCAAAGTCGCTAACAGAAATTATGGGAAGCAAAAATCTTCATTAGAGTTTCTTAGTACTAATATATTTATGTACATACCTTTTCAGTTTTACCTTTATTTTATCAAACCATATAATAACTACAGGATAAGTAGGCAAGACATGCATAGACGTTAAATTCTTAGGAAAATAATCGTGTTTTAATGTAACATAAGGCAATTGAAATAAAGTAGGCGCTAAATTAAAAAAAAAACCTACAAAAACTAAAACAAACGAAAAGTATAAAGCTACCAATAACTATTATTGATAATACATACTTATAGCTTACACACCCACTGATAGGTGAGAAGTAGGTGCCACAAGTTTTAAACAAAATTATTCATTTAAAATCTGTAGGGGCATGATAAGTAATGAAATGAAAAGAGTTTTATTCGGCATACGGCATAAATGCAAGGAACAAAAAATAACAATACAATACAATTTGATAAAATAACCATATAAAAGTTTAACACAAGAGAGTGAGAATAGAAAGATAAAAGCTAAATTATAAAACTAGAAGATAATAAAAATAGGTATAACATAGGTTCTGCGCGATATTGGCAGACATGCCCAAACCGAATAAGTCGTCAACTCTGTGACACATTAAGCCGTTACACTTTTGATGGACAACTTAGGATTATAAGTTTTGCCATTGAATATAACACGAGTTTTATTTAAAAGTCTGCCTCTAAATTACACGGCGCACTACGCCAAAGGTGGAATGTCCACCATATAAGGGTGGCGCCCCGCCATTCGTGTGGTGTTACGGTAAACATTAGGAAGTTGTTAGGGTACAAGGATTTTTAGTTAATACAGGTTACAAGCATTGAAATCTTTGCGTGAGTTAGTAGACAAATTTAGTTTATTTTAGAAAGTTAGTAGTGCAAAGGCTACAAGTGTCCGAACTTGATGACATTTTAGGACGCTATTTTTTTTAAGGGACAATCCCGCCACAACCTCCCAAAACCGCTGCAACTCCTGTAAGCCAGGATCTACAGTAGATACAACTATGAAAACACCGGAACACTGAAGTCCGGCGCGTCCCAGGGACATGAGTAACTGTCTTGATTCCCGCAACGAAGTGAATCAGAAGATATTATAAGAGGAAAAGAAGAAAAAACTATAGTTTCCACTTCTCTCGGTGAATTACTGCAGGAGACAGAATGAATTAAGCCTAAAGGCACAAAGAAGAGACTGTACAACTAGGTGAAGCCCAGGACGTTAGTAAGTTAAGGCTACATGTATAATATTGTAATTACATTGTCAACGTAGAGCGAGCGACGCTGTAGTGCGTCCTGCGATCGAAATCCGGAGTCCGCGCTGCAGACACTCGACAACCGGAACGCGGACTAAAAAGCGAATAAGAAAACACAAAAAAGCAAAATAAAAATGTCACATAAAAAAAAACAAAAGTTCTACGAAAATTAAAACCATCTCATCTACAATACGTTTAAAAACTAAATCCTACTAACCATAAAATAATCTAATATATATTCACTAAAATATAAAAACACAGTTACTAAACATTTGTACAGACATCTATCTACTTCAATATTTCAATCGATTTTAAACTTTAAAACACAAAAGTATAAGGTTAAAAATTCAACAAACATTGGCGTAGCTTGATACCGCCTGTAACTTAGTAATGTAGGGTAAAGGTACCTGTGTTAGACAGTGTTGAGAGTCGCTGGATGGAGCAGGGATAGTGCCCGCTGAGGACGCGTTCGATATCGGGGTAGAGCAACTCACTGTTGAACCGGATACACCTGCAAATTTTGTTAATAGATGTTTAAACGTTGTGTCCAGAGGTCTTAGTACGAATTTGGTTTACGTTATAAGTAATCGAAACGAGACCGCGCGGCGCTCTGATTGGTTGGGTCATTGGAACCGGTCAAAAATCATTGGTTTATTAGTCACAAATGCGATCTTTGTGCAAGAGATCTTGAGTTTGTATAATAATATTATCAGGCAACCGAAATGATACCGTGGCAGAAAACTAGCCCAATCCTCCCCTTCCTCCATTCCCATTTCCATTCACCACAGCTAATCTTTAAATCCCCTTAAAAACCGGCAAACCGCGTGTATCGTGACGACTGTATAACATTGGACGATCCGTCTGCTCATTTGCCACCTTATCCCATAAAAGGTCATTAAAACTCACCATGCTGTTGATCAGAACACTGGCTGTTCAATGAAGATATTGAGGTGAGTGATGACTTGCGACTTCCGAGCCGGGACGAGGCCGACGGTGAGTGGGGCGCCGACCCTGACTCAGCCCAGCCGCTGTAGCAGGACTTTATATCGCATATCACCTGAAATTGAACCGTAACATAGGTGGATTAAGGGTTATTTTTTAAAATTTGGTTACGTGGATATTATGAAATTGGTTATGACGTCACGAATACTGGTTTTGGTTTAACTGCTAACTGGTTTTATGCACGTCCGAAACCCAAAACAATGACCAAAGCAACGTCCTAAGGACTTGTTTCTTGTAGTCCTGATTCGGCCAAAATAGTATTAGTATGAAGTTTGTGAATTAATTTTCAGTATTCGAAATATTCAGTAGGTAATATTGGAATTGCGTCGGCTGTTAATCGAACCTCTGACGAATAAGCATAGCATCTGAATGTAAACATTATAATATATGTTATATAATCCAATCTAGATAGCAAAGAAGTAGTGCGTACTGCTAAATAGTGGAATTCTTTGCCAGAGTCTGTATTTCCTGAAGGGAGTCTTCAAGGCCCGTGTGAATAGGTTGCTTATGGGACGACGTGCTCCATCGTAGACCACATCATCGCTTACTACCAAGCGAGATAGTGGTCGAACGTAGTAAAGAAAAGAACGTAGTAGAAAAGTAGACAGAAGATACAGATGTTATCACCAATTACCTGTAGACTGGCAGCCGGCAGTGTCCTAGGTTCAGCTGTATGTCTGATGAGTTGCTCGCTGCCTTCTTGTAAATGTCCGACCTCCGCTAACATTGCCACTTCAGATTCCTGGAAGTATAAAGTTCTCATCAATACTAATTAATCAAGCCCAAACACAAGGTCGTTACTGTATACCGTTGAGGAGTTCCCTTAATAATTACACTTCTTCATCATCAGACCCTTATGACAGTCCTACTCCATCTAGCTCTAAAGTTCTCATGAATACAAATTAATCAAGCCCAAACACAAGGTTGTTGCTATAAACCGTTGAGGAGTTCCCTCGACTGTTTGTCGGCTCCATTATCAGAGCGACTACAGGGCTATGTCAAATTGTACTGATTTAAATATCTATTGAAAATGTTAAAAAACGTAATAATCGACTCCGGACCGTTAAATTGTAGTGTTTAAAAACATATCATATCACATAGATCATTGAAAAACATAATAGACGCAGTACTCGCCCCTACAATTTTCGAAAGTTCCTCTCGGTTTCCCTAAGATTCCATCATCAGATCCTGACCTGATGAAAATGGGACAGCTGACATCGTTTTTTTTTTTTTTTTTTTTTTTATTTATTGGAACCACAAACAAGTTTACAATACAACTTAATATTTATATCTTAACTAATACAATTTTACTTATTGCAAACTCAACATCAATGGTCACCTAAATATAAATGATTTAGAAAATGATGAACCTGCACCTCAATATAATCAAGTTTCATAGGAAGTGTTACCGTGGTGAAAATAATTAGAAAAAAAGAATGCGTATATGTATGCATGCATATGTTTGTTTGCTTTGTGTGTGTGTCTGTGTGTGTAGGTTGCAGTTATAACACAACATAACGATGTACGATATTGTGGTTTATATATTTTCCTGTGATAACATTTTGATTATTTGCTTTCTGTATGCATGTTTACTATTGCTAAATATATCCAATGTACTCAACTTATCATTATATGTCCCAAACATTCGATTCAGCGGGGACCGACTGCCGGCGTTAGTACGTGATCGCGTTTTAGCAAAGACCTGCTTATGACGAGAGGCTCTCACATGGGCTCTCAAGGGCACGGAATATGTTATTTTATTTAATATTTTATACAATCATATTTGTTATTACAGATATCAAACAACAACATAGCCTCCAGTTGCAATCTTCTAGACTTGAGATCAAGTAACTTATATAACTTAAGCAGTGCCTTGTAAGGTAATTGTTTACGAAGACATTTAAAATTAGTATAACGTAGAAACTTCTTTTGTACCCTTTCTAAGCCATTGTCATATTTTTGGTAAATTGGGTTCCATATAGCAACAGCGTACTCAAGTTGCGGCCTTATTAAAGATTTAAAGAGATAGGTAAAGGTAGATGGATTTCTGAATTCACTGGCTGACCTCATGACAAATCCGTACATTTTAAAGGCGTTATTAATAATATTTTCTATATGAATATCAAAGTGTAATTTGTTGTCTATAGTAATACCCAAGTCTCTGATAGACAGTACTTTCTCAATGTTAGTTCCACACAGTGAATATGTGTAATTGCTAACTACTTTTTTTTACTAAAGCTAATACTTTTACATTTGTTAAGACTAAGCTCCAATTTGTTTTCGAGGCAATATAGGCTGAATCTATCCAGGTCTTCTTGAAGATAGATGTGGTCTTGGTAGCTATTTATTCTTACATATATTTTCAAGTCATCAGCATAGAGTAGAAAGTCACTACTGAGGAAACATTTGTCAACGTCATTAATAAAGATAACGAATAGCAGTGGACCTAGGATAGATCCCTGTGGAACGCCAGAACTTACTATAGTGGTGTTTGACTCATAACCCCCAATTGCAACCCTCTGTGTTCTACCAGAAATGTAAGACTTGAACCACCTCCACAGGTCACCCCTTATACCATTGAATGCAATCTTTTCTAGCAATTTACGATGATCTACGCGGTCAAATGCTTTGCGGAAATCTGTATAAATACTGTCAATTTGGGTATTAGCATCAAGCCCTTCAAATAGATCTGTAGTATATGCTAGAAGATTTGTCACAGTTGATCGTCTCTTAACAAATCCATGTTGCTGTTGTAAGATATGATTATGTAGTAGAGGATATATAGCATTGTGGACTAGTCTCTCAAAGATTTTAGAAAGTACCGGCAATATTGATATAGGTCGGTAATTCTCGACGTCATTTTTTGAACCACCTTTATACACAGGTACGATCCTCGCGCTCTTCCATATTTTTGGTACTACACCCTCAGTCAAACATCTATTGAAGAGATAACATAGAGGCTGATCAATAACTGTTGCAGTTTCCTTAAAGAAGATGGGCGGTATGTTATCTGCTCCGGAACCCTTAGTAATATCTAGCGATTTTAATGACTTGCAGATTTCAGTTCTGGTCAAAGTAAGATTACTGATTGTAACATCCGACATGTTTCCCGATTCGGTGCCAAGGTCAGCTATGGTTAAGTTTTAGTTACATCAGAAGGCCGGTAAACCGAGAGAAAAAAATTACTAAATAAATTACAGGCCTCTTCGATAGTACCAGCCCTGATCGATTTGTATTGTATATCTGTAGGTATATCTGTTGAGCGCTTGCGATGGGAAACATAACTCCAAAAATACTTTATGTTAACCTTTATGCTAGTCTCTAATAACGCCATATACTGCATGTAACATTTTTCGGACATGATCTTAAATTCCTTTCTATATCTAGAGAAAATGTTATAGTTTGTTTCACTATAATACTTTTTCATTCTAATCCATGCTTGATTTTTTTTCTTGGATAATTTTATCAATTTAGCCGTGAACCAGACCGGGTACGATTGTGATTTAATAACTTGTAAAGGTATATTTTGTTTAATGATACTATATAATTTTTCATAAAAACAGGATACCGCCTCCTCAATCTCCCTATTCATTAATAGTTCATTCCAATTTATAATAGACAACTCTTGTTTAATTTTATCGTAATTAGCTTTGTTAAAACTGTATTTGAAAGATGGCTTACGTTGGATGTAGCTACTATTACTTATAAATGGTACCGAGACCCAGAACGGGGGATGATGTTCATCTGTGGACACTAATGAATTAGGGGCCGAAAACAGTACGCAATCCAACACATTAGTGAAAAACAAATCTAATATGGTTTTATTGTGATTTTGTAATGTATTTATTTGGTAACAGTTTGATATTGTCATGAAGTTATTTATGCACCGGTGTGTTTGATTTAAATCAGCACAACTTAGACACTTCATGTATGGCTCCCCATTAATCCAATTCAATTTAGGTAAATTAAAATCCCCAACGACAATCAAATACTCTCCGTTATTACTTTGATCCACTAATTTTTTTTGCAAAGCATAAAAAAAGTCATTATAAACTTGATTGTTTTGCTTTGGTGGAATGTAAACAGCACCAACACAAAAACGGGTTTTAGATAAATGTAGTTCGATAAATACTTGGTCTATGATGGAGGGGACAGGCGAGATCGATGCGAGTGCGCAGCCGGCGCAAAGCGCGCGCCGCACGGCAATCAGTACGCCACCACCATCGCGTCGACCGCTCGATTCTCGATCTCGGTCCGCGCGAAATATTACATATCTGCTATCAATAAACTCATTATCTGAAATATCTGTATGCAACCAAGTTTCGGTTAGTATGACAATATCGTACGAATTTGACAATATGTTCATGTATAGTGTATGTAGTTTGGTTCTAAGGCCCCGGCAATTCTGGTAATAAATAGAAATATTTTTAGTGTTATCCATTTATAGTTATACCTTCATAAAGTTTAGTTGTTAGATTTGTTAGACACCCGCTCTGATTATACGTGTATATGAGTGAAATAATTTGTAATATCCAGAACTGCTGTGTTTCTGTAAGTAGTAGGTAATAGATAACACCGAGCAGCCAGCCATCGTTGCATTTTATTAGAATTATTATTGGAACATATATAAAGTACAAGCAAAGTATTGTTAGAAATATTTTCCGATACATAATATTATAACTATATGAAAACCTGAATGAACCTGCAAACACACACAACCCAGGAGACCCACACATTGTTAGAGTTATACAAACATAACAATACACTATAAAGTACAGATGAATGCAGCAAATATTAACCAAAGTTTCATTTAATTTTCTTGACATCGTGCTCCTTACGAACCGCAAAGATCTCGGACGAGTCCGTTTGACGCACCAATATTGTACCATTCTTAATCCATACGTATTTGTAGTTTTGTTTGGTTGCCGCCTCGCGACACATCCGAAACAATTGTTTATTCTTGCCAGTAAGATGTTCATTTATATATACATTCTGTGCAGTCCCTGATATAGACAACTGATCTGATTTTAGTCCTTTAGCTAACTTTGCCGCTTCGATGAAGTTATTACGAAGAATCTTAGTTGTAAATCTCACTATAATATTTTTCGGTCGAGTAGTTTTCTTATCGAAGTGCGGTACTCTGTGAACTGACACGACGTCGGACATTTTAATCGGATGCTTGATAAGACTCCCAAGCCTCTCCAATATGGTGACTAGATTTTCATCCCGGCGCTCAGGAACATTAGCAATTTCTACATTATATAGCCGGGCCTGCTGCTGCATAGAGTTAATTTCATATTGTAGGTCAGGTAGTTGACTTATTATATCTATGTTTTGCTTCATTTTTTCTTCCATTTCACTCAATCGTGCATCAAAAGAATCCTGACGATCCATGGCATAAGATAATGATTGTTCAACATTTTCCAATCGATCGCTGACTTGCTTGATCAAATCACTGAAAGAAGACCTCATTTTCTCCATCTCTTGCTCCATGATAGATTGCATAGAGGTTTTTATTGTTGTAGCTATAGATATTTCCAGGTCATTTTTCCATGCATTTAGTTTCTCATCAATTTTATTTTCGAGGCTTACCCGCATGTCGTCTATATTACAATCGTCCCCGCTGTCGGGCTGTTTACGTTTATGCGAGTTTAATTTACGTGAACTGACAAATGCCTTGTCACTATTTCGCAGTGATTCCGGTAAATCAGGATTAGACGAAACCTTTGGGAGTAGGCCCGCAGTCTTTAATGGTGATGGTCGCTGCATCGTTTATCTTCAACGGGCCAGGTATGCGGAGATTAGGTTGTGACGTTCGTGTTTACTGCGGTCGCAGCTCGTAGATGCAGTGCAGTGAGGTGACAGCACGAGCGTTTACAATATTATGCTTGTTTTTGCACTCCAATGTTTAACTAAAATCGCACTCAAAGTACTTTTCACCGTAACGATCGGAAACACGTCCGTATCTCACCGGTTCAACGAACGAATGAATGAAAATGGGTTTTTTAAAAAAATATATAAGTATACAATTTGGATATCTTACGCAACTTCGAAATATCCACGACTTTCATTTCTCATCTAAGCGCATTTTTTACCAGGGCGTTATGGCCCACTATCTTCTGTCTTTCTTAAAACATCACTAATGCAATTGGTCAGTAGGTACTCACCACAACGGGGTTTAGGAGCGACACGAAGTGACAGAAGCGGCTTCGTTCCTCGATGAGCGCGGCCTTCACTGCTTTCTCCTCCATCTCCTCCAACTGTTGCTTACGTTCTTGTATGTCCTGGAAGAATCAATATCAACTTTATAGTACCTCTATAAAAATAAACTAATTTCTGCAGTTTTTCTTCAATATCTACTAACATAATAATCATTTGAGAACCCTTTAAATCATGACTAACTTTTGATTGTAGCATCGTTGCGAGTCAAGTGTGAATTGCTAAATTCTTCACTTTCAGGCATCTAACCCACTTTACGCCTTTTTTCTAATAACCATACATCAGCAAAGCACATAAAGAACAACAAAAACTGATTAAATTAAGACTACATCCACAATCAACGACCTCGTCTTTCTGGTCCAAGAGGACCTTACTGTACATCATGTACCGTACCGCATCTTGGTTCTTATTGTTACCTGCATGCACACATCAGCTCGTCTCTTTGCATCAGGAGGCGCTCTCCTCGCCTTCCTCGCGTGCCTTTGTGCCTCAGTGACACGGCGTCTAAGTTCAGCTCGAGCACGCTTGCATTCCCGCGCATGCTCTCGGCTAAGTGCACCAGTAGTACAGGTCCCACGACGCCATTCGTCAGCGCGTTCTGATAGCGGAGTTATAAGGGTATCCATTAGGGCGCTGGAATGAAAAGAAAGTGGTGGTTATTTTGGTGAAAAGCAATACTCTTTTTATAGGTCGGGTTAAAACAAAACCCATCGGGTTTAGGTTGCCGCGGAGAACTTAACGAGTTACCGGGGCTCCGGCTTGAAGGGCAGAAGTAGGAACTGGATGGTTTTTAGTTAGTAAGAAACCGACAATCCCTTCCACCTCACCCAGGTGGCAGAAGTCATTCGATGATTTTCCCCCCTTAAAAAAATCGGGTTTAGGTTAGGCAGAAACCACACCAATTATGACCTATGTTACCCGTTGAAATTCATCCCCTAAATTTGTTCATACAAAAGTAGTCTTTAAGCATTCGAAATAAGGTCTATAATATAGGTAGTGGAGAGCGGTCACCAGTGACCGCTTGGGATTCTATGGGTTAAGTTCCATCCAATCAATAGTTCATGACAGCCCACTGCTGAACTATGAGTATATTCTACATAAGAGGGTTCGTCATAATATCCACGTTTGGCTGGTGAGTTAGATCAGTCTAAAGGCATACGAATTCGCAGCGCAAAAAATTACGATGCGAATTGCTGCGATAAGATTTCGTGCGACAAGGCGTCTCCCAGGATGACCATTTCTTCGACGGCCGTCAACCATACTAAACGTATTTTAAATTGAAAACTAGGTCGTGACATGGATCGTAAAAAGAAGTGTGCACTTCTGTTATTTAGCTTAGGAGACAGAAAAAGAAACAAAGAAGATTTTGAGAAGATAACATTTTGACGCGCGATGCGAATCAATTCGCAAGTTCTTGCGATGCGTAGAGGGAGCCCGCACATTTTTGCGATGCGACGTCGCATTGCAGTTTTGTGTACGAGCCCTAAAAGGTTAAAATTCATAGATTTCCGTCCTAATGTGTAGTCAATCAGTCGGTTCTTACGAAACATGATAAAAATAATAATTCTAAATACTAAATGGAACAAATACAAATGTATCATACAAATATCAATATGGACACATTTCATTAATTCTAACATACATTTAAGTCGTAAGCTATACGCAAAAACCAACGAGGCAAGCAATTGTCTAGTTAATTACTGCTTTTAAAACCACGTTATTGTCTTTAGAATCCCGTTGGCTTGCTTTTGTACACGTATATAACAAAGTATAACAAAACGGCCGCGTAATGATGTGCAGGACCTACATTTTAACAGAAATAATTTTAGAAGCCTCTTTTGTATTCAGCAAATCATTTACAAGGATGACACACATGCCCGTATAGTAGTAATTTACAAAGGACAATAATCATTGTAGATCGCCATCAGCTTATTTCCACCCACCGCTGGACAGGACCTATTACTAAGGCTATTCGGTTTATTATATTCGGTTTATTATCCTTGCTGTGGCAACACTAGGGTAAACAGCTGATTTGTTGTTGTCCTTGTTATTTTGTAAAATAATTATTGTTTTTTATTATATTATGCCCTAAAATCTGTCTTAACACTGAAGAAATAATCTTTTTATAAAATAAAAGACTACCTAGATGATAGTCTGGCTTGGGAATAAGCCGCTGTAACGTCCACACAGGTCATGTTGACATGTTTGTAACATATAGTTACATTTCTTTTTATATGCAATTTGACATTATTAGCATAATGTGATATTGTTTTTCATTTGAAAAATTTATATTTTTTTTTAAACTTGACATTTACCTCTATTTTTTACAATTGTTAGTGCTAGGACCGTGCGAGACTTTGCCTCGCTATTTCTTTTCTTATTTCTTACTCATACTCTGACAGTTTGAGTATTTGTGCGACCCACGCAAATGTTCTTTAGGTTGGTATTGTTCGTCGAATCACTCAGCCTCATCTGTTAATTGAGCTGACTGTAAACCGACACATGCGTACTGCTTTCAGAACGGGTCCGCTCAAACTGTTGTGGTTCTTTCCTCAAAAGGCCACTACAGAAAGAACTTGCACGGTTCTCACACGTAATCTTTTTATACATATTTGTCTGGACTTTAAAAGAGACAGACCTCTGAGTTTGTTTCGGCATTTCTTCTCAGAGTAGTCAGTTAGGAAATGTCGAACTCATCGTTCGCTTGATAAAATTGACGTGTAAAAGTGCTGCCTTGTAGCCTATTTGCAGAAATAAATTCACTTGTTTCACTTGTTTCACTATAAACATAACATCACGCGTTTTATCCCCTAAGGGATAGGCAGAGGTGCACATTACAGCATTTAATGCCACTGTATAATGTAATACTCACTTTTCCCGATTTATGTTCGCGATTTATATTATGAGTCCCATGTAATAGGAGGTGAGCCTATTGCCATATACCGGGTACAATTCCAAAAACCGTGCTACTACTGAGATTTTTTTATAAAAACTCAGTAATACTTTACCCGACCTGGGAATCGAAACCGAGTCCCCTTGTTAGGCAGTCGCACTTGCAACCACTCGTCCAACGAAGTAGTTTATTATAAACTTATAGAATTTTCCTTAACGAGCAAAAACACAATCTTCATCAATGAATACCTACCTAATGATATTACATGACTATAGAAGTTCATTGACTCCCAAAGCATACACGATATACCTATCACAACTTTTTTTGAGAAAAGCCAAATGGTTTTCCTTCCTGAACTACTAATAAGTCATTCATAACAAGGGCCTTATCTCATTACGCAAAATTGACTTTCTTTGTAAGAACGCGAAGCAGGTAAACACAGCAGCAGATCAAGCTACCCTTTCTTAACTAATAAGATATTGAACCTTATATCTTTGCAGTACAGTTGAAAATCTATTAATAACAGTTGAGAGCTTGTTTATTTAAGTACTTATGGAAGAGGAAAACGCAATGTTCATTGACGCATATTTGCGTGTATGATCATGTTTCGACTGGACAACTAAAGGTTAACTGTATAGTATGTATTCTACGAAAACTTCAAGATGACAATACAATATTTCTTGTCAAAACAAATTTGTAAGTGTGAGAGAGCCATGGGCCGGCTCGACCGGAGCGATACCACGGCCTCACAGAAAACCGACGTGAAGCAACGCTTGCGTTGTGTTTCGTCGTGTGAATATGGTTACCGGAGGCCCAATTACCCTCCCCTTCCCCAATCTCCCCAATTCCTGAATCCCCAACGATCCTCAAACTCCTAATCCGCAAAATGCCGGTAACGTATTTGTAACGCCTCTGGTGTTCCAGGTGTCCATGGGCGATGCCGATTGCTTACCATCAGGTGATCCGTCTGATCGTTTACCGGCTTATGCCATAATAAAATTAGTATTATGTATTTGCAATATCAAACAAGTCTGGAAGTCATTGAAGGCCTATGCTCAGCGGTGGACGTCCTATGGCTGAAATACGATTATGATGAACAACAAACAAACAATACGATGCGGGCGAAACAACATTTTCTTTTATGGGATAAGCCGGTAAACGGGCATAAGGATCACCTGCTGGTAAGCAATCGGCGCCGCCCATGGACACCTGGAACACCAGAGGCGTTACAATTGTGTTACCGGCCCTTTGGGGATTACCTAGGAATTTGAAGATTGTTGGTGATTCAGGGATTGGGAAAGGGGTAATTGGGCGTCTGGTAACCTCACTCACACGACGAAACACAACGCAAACGTTGAATAGAAGAAATACTAAAAGGAGGATTTTCTTTAAGGAAATTTCCTCACAAAAGGGGCAATTTTCCTCAATATAAGTACCTACGTATATTAAGAAGACTGCACGCGATTATACTAAGAAGATAACACCCACTTTTCTCCAGATATGTGCTGAGTTATTTTCCTCTTTGAAGTACGTGCAATTAATTGAACTTTAAGACCAGTTTCCCAGTAATACCCAGATAGAAAAACCCACTGGGACTATCGCAAATCAAATCCAGTCTAACGGGATTGTTCTAATTACAAGTAAGTAGTCAATCAATTCAAAACAAGCTTTTACTAGCGGTCTTTCCCAGCATCTTCAGAAGGATTTTATTTCTTGATATTTCCACTACTAATAAAGAATAAGAAAAAAAATAAAACCGATTTGATCGAGTTTTAACGGGTTGTTGTTTGATAACAAAGTAACATTTAAAAACGATACAAAAAATAAATTCACACAATTGTCCTTAAGTTGTAGATATTCAACTTTAAGGTTTTGTAATAAGGTTGAAAATGTACGAAGAAAACTTTATAGTCTGATGTAGGCCGTTTTGCTTGGTATACAAAGGACACACTTAACCGGTAAAACTCGCAAATCTAGTATGTAGTACGCATGTGTATTGACTTTATTATTCACATAATAACATCAGCTAAATATTTATGTTTAATTGACCCCTACCGTATGAAATTTTCCTAGAAGTAACTCACAAGAAGATCAGGAGTAAGAATACGGTTGTCAAACTGGTTTGGATTCCTTAATCGAGAAAAAATAAGAAGGTTATAATAATTATACTAATATGACTTGGTCATATAAAAAAAAAGTGTAAATCCAGAAAAAAGTCAAAAAAATCATTTTAAAAAAAAGAAAACATTTAATCAGAAAATAATATATTTTGATATCCTGACAATAGGTCGAACCAAAACAATAGATCCTGGACGATCATTAAGCTAAGCCTGAGGTTACTCTTGATCCAATTTCGATCGACATTGATATTAGACTAGGGCCCATTGCATCCGTATTGCGTGGATATTTAATGAACTAAATGGTATTGAGTTTGGCTTTATATTCTGTACTCTGAATGTTATTTAACAGCTACGATTTGGGTTGCATAGTGTTGACATTGAAGAATTATTGAATTCTGTTCTGATCATGAATGTGATGGAAGTTACAGAAATCTGTAAGAGTAAAGGTCTCTGCACACAGCGGGCGCGGCGCGGCGGGACGGGACGGCGACGCGACGCTAAGCAGTTGTAATGTACTAGATATTACAGACGACGCCACACAGAGCCGTCGGTTACCGTCGCGTCGACCGGGACGGCTCTTAAATTCCCTTAGGGCAAAGGAATCAGTTAATGTTTTCCTGTAGGTATGTATTTCGTAAAATCGTAAGACATCTAGAAAAAGGTTGACCAAGGCTTGCTAAAGCGTCTTTAAATGTTCGCATCTGCGTCATATCTTGCATTCCGTTTTTCACACAGAATTCAGTTTCTGAGAGAAATCATTTGACGTCAGTGCTGGCGAACGCTTGACAGCTAATGATAGTATGGAAACCGCAATGTACCGTTGGCATTTGCAATGACGTAGGTGAGTATGCAATTGATGACGTGTTGGCACGGGTAGATGCGGAAGATTAAGTATGTATGTATGTATTTACGTGGTAGAACACACGTCATCAACAGGTTATAAGTGGCCACTGCTGACCAAAGACCTCTTTTCACCCGGAGCATTAATCATCACGCTTGCTCAATGCGGGTTGGCGGTTTCAAACTTATACTTAATTATAAATTATAAGCCCAGGTTTCCTTACGATGTTTTCCTTCACCGTTTGTCAATTTTGTCTAAATAACCTTACAAAGTACATATAACTCGGAAAAAGTCACACTGGTACTTGCCGTTGGTAAGTTTCGAGCCCGCACCCTCGTGTAAGAGGAGCGGACGGCAGAACAAGGGCATTCAATTATCATTAGAACATAATATGTAGTTATCCATTGCACTTTTACCGCCCTGATCAGAAATATTACAATATACTTTTTGAGGATTTTTTTTAAGGGGAAAAAACCATCAAATGACTGCTCCCGCCTGGGTGAGGCGGGAGGGAGTGTCAGACTCTTACTGACTAAAAACCACCCCGTTCCTTCTCCTGCACTTCGAGCCGGAGCCCCGGTAGCCCGTTATTTTGAGGATATCCTCCAAAACTTTGGATGAATGTTTTCATACTCTTTCATGCAAAAATCTAATGAATAAAATTAGTCACAGAGCTAGATGTGTAGAAAACATAGACTACATTTTATCCTGAGAATGCGGGCAAAAGCGCTGGATAAAACAAATGCCTACATTATCATTGTTAGGTAGTAACATCTACGTATTATAGAAGTACAGTACATAATATGGGACACTCAATAATGTCTAATACTTATCTATTAGTAGGTATCACAATGTCCACGTTTTCCTTCCCTATCAGAGAGAAAAATATGTGATGTTATGTTTGTATTGCCTAACGTGGTTCATGGTAATGTAAACCTTTATTCAACCAATTAAGAACCGATTAAGATTAAGAACTCGACCGTAAACAGTTGACAGCTGTTTTGTAGATGGACAGATAATTTAGATCCTCAAGAAACATGTTTGACGTAATGACAATCTTAATAGATTTGTTTACATTGTTATGACGTCATAATATAGTAAACAAGAATTTACCTTATAAACGTCTTCATCCTGGTCTCAATGGCTCTGTGACGTAAGCAGACGCGGGTTAGCGCTGTACCAATCTCCTTTGTCGCACCTGTAACAAGAAATTAATGTGATTAATTAAAGGTAACTAATTTCTAGAGGCTCATATTCATGAGCAGCATTCGACAACTATTGGCTGACAATGACTGACTACGTAAGTGAGCCGAATAACATAATGGAGGTCCCTAACTAAGTTTAAAATAGTCTGTGAGTGTAGTCTGGCGAGTTGAATGTCTGGGATAGAATTATTGTATTGCAAAATATATGATGATATGTCTGGCTATGTCAGCCAGTGCTCAAATTAAGGATTTTTGACAAAAACTTGAAAATGGATTCATTTACACAATCATAGTGATTCTTTTTAACACCACGAAGCTCACCCTACATGAGACTCATTGCCATTGCTGGTAAAAAGTGTCTCAGTCAACCTGTTCGGGGTTTAAAATGCGTGACGCTTATTTATAAAAATAATTATTCAGCACGTGTTTAAGAAAAATAAATAATTAGTTTCACATAATTTTAATCAATTTTCCTGGATATTATTTAAAATTTCACACATACATTAGTCTTTAAAACAATAAAATATACGTAAAATACCTACTCTAACATATAGTAATATAATATTAAGCATATTAAATTCTTGGTTTATCAAAAACAAAAGGATTTATTTTGTTATTTTCCTTGTTGCGGTTACTCAATCGAAATCGTTTCGCATAAATGTGTATTTTAATAATAATAATATAATGTGTAACTACCCAGTTGTGCTTTTTTTATTTCTCCATTTATTTTGTTAAATGATTATGTTTGTTAAATTAATTAATTTCATGTAAATCGTTAATATCTAATTGGTGGCTTGTTCGTCTGCGACTCACTTAAAGGGCCAGTAGAATACTAGCGCAAGGCCCTGTCTTGCACATGCTGAACTGGTTTTTTGAGAGATATTCTACAGAACTAATATCAAAAATCGATCTGAATCCAAATATTGAGATCAGTCACATGTTACAACACCCGCAGGAACAGTAGAGGTAGTGATTAACTCTTTGTTGTCACCACACGGTATAGAAATCATAGAAATCACATCCCGACGTTTATTTAGGCCTTTTTTTTTTGATGGGCCGACATTCGTCAATTATCTCACCTGGTGGTAAGCGATGATGCGGTCTACTATGGAGCACATCGTCCCATATGCAACATATTCACTCGGGCCTTGAAGACACCCAGGAAAAATACAAAGCCAGGCAAAGAATTCTATAGAACTGATATCAAAAATCGACCTTCATCCAAAGATTGAAATAGGTCTTGCGACACCCACGAGCAGAGTAAAGATGGTGGCAATTCCTCTTTGCTGCCACCACACGGTATAGACATCACATCTCCATGTGTATTGAGGTCAGTTTCAATACAAAGTACAAGTACCTATATGTACTATAATCGGGGAATAACATACACATATTAAAAGTATGAATAAGTCAGTATTCTTGACAACTATGCAAAGTCTTAACCAAATGATTCATAATACAAGTAAACAATTTAAATAAAAATGATGCAACGGAATGTCTGTATGCGCATAACTCGCAAATGGCTGCACTAAATCGGATGAATTTTCGTTTATTTTTTCTGTCCTGTTTTAAAAGGGCTGCTTCGTAACTGACCACTTTGAGAGTCATTGGGGACTGTCTATGTTTAACTGACGTCCCGTACCATATGACGATGATGATGTTGATAATCACAAACCTACCTATACCAAATTTCTATTATAGTATTATAACATCTTCTGATTAATTTGGTTGCGGGAATCAAGACAGTTATTTATGTCCCTGTGACGCGCCGGAATTCAGTGTTACGATGTTTTCATGGTTGTATCTACTGTAGATCCTGACTTACAGGAGTTGCAGTGGTTTTGGAAGGTTGTGGCTTGTCCCGAAAAAATACAAAATTACTGAAATTCCTATAGGAAGACAGCTTATAAGCCAGGACCGACAGGGAGACAACTACTAGAAAACCGCTTGTTTTGAGAGGAGTTGCTAGAATACAAGGTGTATAAGAAAAGTACACGCGTGATACCAGGTCGAACCACTAGTATAATTTAGTCTTAACAACAACCGGTTATAATAAAATTAACCTTCATTCAATGATACGGCTAAATGCATTTAACTATACCAGTTATTTCCCCAACTAGGTAGATAGGACTCATAGCATACCTTTTTTGTAGGGGGAAAATCATCCAATGACAATTCCTACTTCTGCTTAAGAGATGAAGCCCGGTAACCCGTTAAATTGTCCGCAGCTCCGGGTCTCATAATGTTATGTTAGATATGTATCTAAGGTATTATACTGTACGCGCGCTTCAAAGAGACATCAGACCACCACAGATGGGGCCCAACAGGGCCGATGCAGATTCGGAGTCGCGGAGAACCTAACGGGTTACCGGGGCTCCGGCTCGACGTGCAGGGGAAGGAACGGTTCGGTTTTTAGTCAGTAAGAGTCTGACACTCCTCACCCAGGCGAGAGCAGTCATTCGATGATTTTCCCCCTTTAAAAAAGCGGTATTATTCTGTGCCTAAGGGGCGAAAAGTAGGTGTTACACTTAGTACGTACTTTTATCAACCTCTTTAACCATTTATACCGAATAAAAAGTTATGTAACCTTGTAGTATTTTTTTGTAAACACTCGATTAGGACTAAATTACCGAAACTTTAGTATTTGTTAAAAACGTAATATTGAAGTTAACAAATAATGTCACATGAGTATTTATAATGTTAGGTACGTCTACATCGCACCGCTCATGGCTACTCATGAACAGTTAGCGAGCTGCATAATGAGCGGTGCGCGTGCATTTTTTTATAACATAAGCCGGTAAACGAGCCGACAGATCACCTGATGGTAAGCAATCGGCGTCGCCCATGGACACCTGGAACACCAGAGGCGTTACAAGTGCGTTACCGACCTTTTGGGGATTAGGAGTTTGAGGATCGTTGGGGATTCAGGGATTGGGGAGATTGGGGAAGGGGAGGGTAATTGGGCCTCCGCTAGCCTCACTCACACGACGAAACACAACGCAAGCGTTGCTTCACGTCGGTTTTTTGTGAGGCCGTGGTATCACTCCGGTCGAGCCGGTTCATTCGTGCCAAAGCATGGCTCTCCCACACTTAGCAATTAACACCTTGATCAGGCGAAAAGAGATGATGTTAAGAAGTTGATAAAGACGGTAAATTATGTATAACCACGCTAGGCTTCAGCAACGAAATTAGGTCACCGAAAATTTAGAGGATGCGGTACTTCTAGAGGTCTCACTCTAACGTTTATCTACTAGAAACCGTAAAATGAAAAATGCCTTCATTTGGGTCCGCTTAAGTATCATGTATGTTATTGTTTTTTTTTATTACGTGCACCGCTGCTTAAATTTCAAAGATTAAAAGTCATGTCATGATACTAAGTAATACTTAATATTTATCCAGAAAATATTCGTCAGCAGTATTTCCGAACCGATACGGCCTTCAAACCTTCAAGAAAAGAGCGTATTCCTTTTTAACTCGTCGAGTACCGGTTTTATAGACACAATTAAAGAACAATAGGTCGCGGTCACCGGTGACCGCTTGGTGTTTGACAGTTTAAATGGCCGTTAACGCACCTGACATCTCTGGTGTTGCGGGTGTCCATGGGCGGCGCTGATCGCTTACCATCAGGTGACCCGGCTGTTCGTTTGCCTCCTATTCCATAAAAAAAAAAACTGAAAACTCCTATACCTAAGCAGGGATTCACTTAATTCATAACGATATCATAATACTACGAATTTATCTTTACGAATGCGCAAGCGGGTAACTGGAAAACAACATCAATTTATTGTTACTTATCAATTCTCCTTGATAAGTTAAATTATGATTCATATTTTTAAAACGTTTATAAACAAAAGATAGTGAATATGCGATGTATATTGGGATCATTGTCACATCGGGGTTGGCGCGGTGGCTGGGCAAATGGCTGCCGCGCAACGTGTCGCGGGTTCGATTCCCGCACGGAACAACTCTTTGTGTGATCCACAGATTGTTGTTCCGGGTCTAGGTGTCATGTGTATGTGAACTTGTATGTTTGTAAACGCACCCACGACACAGGAGAAAATCTTAATGAGGGGCAAAAAAAATCATCATTAATAAACACGAGAGGGTAGGCAGAGGTGCACAATCTTATCTTACTTCTATCTATAACACTTATTATAAATGCGAAAGTTTGTGTGTTTATTACTCATTCACGTCAAAACGGTCGAAGGATGGAATTTGGAACCGGGGTAGATTATAGCCTGGAATATTACATAGGCTACTTTACCTATATCCCACGGGCGAAGCCGTGAGCAGAGGCTAATAGGACCAAAGCATATAAAACTTACTGTGACTTATATGCTTTAGTCCGTTGATGTATTAATTTATTTTAACGTTGTTGGTATAATAATAACAAAAAGTATTTTTTGTAATAACAAAAAACATTTTTTGACTTATGTGGTTTAGTCTGCCGACCCTAGAATTATGACCAGGGTTGCACCGCAAGGAATTACCGACACCATGGCCCCGGGAAGCAGGAGTTGGAACGTAGTGGTTTTAGTCAGTAAGAGTCTGACACGCCCTCTTCGTCTCACCCAGGACGGGAGGATTCGCTTCATTCGATAATTTTTCGCCCACAAAAAAAGAAGTACCTACCTACAGATTATAATCAAATACCCACTTTTTGTCAGTTATGTTATCATTTACTATGTTATATAGGAACCAGTTACAATTCCAAACTTCATGTCACAACTGAGTATTTTCTATAACTGTAAAATTAAAAGAATGACTTGCCCAATTCGATAGAAAGAAGGCAGTTCTCACACATATTTAAAATACATAGTATAAAAATTATTTTAAGGGATTTCATGATTCCTTTTTAACTCGTTGAGTACCGTCATTATAGGCACAATTAAAGAACAATAGGTTGCGGTCACCGGTGTCCTCGCGGTGTTTGACAGTTTAAGACACAAATTATGACTTCAGGGGGTGTCTAGATTTGTGTTTTATGACTAATGTCTTGTCCGCACAATGCTATTATTTTAGTTAAGTAGCAAGAATTGATTAACTCTCTCTCGCTTCGATTTTGGGACAGAAGCGAGAGGGATGTACTAAACACTAAAATACTAGCATAGTGCGAATAAGGCATAATGTTTGATTCTCTATTGCGTGAGCTTGGTGACTGACACAGAGCGAAGAAGTTTCATCATCATCAACAGCCTATAAGTGACTACGACTACAGCTAACCAAAGGCCACTTCTCACACGGAGAGAAGCTTATTCAATGGGCAAAATTAATAGCCGACCTACCGAGATATCTAAATCTGGGAGATCTAGATTTAGAACAGAATTTCTAATGTCAAAAATCGGCCTCAATTTAGATTTTAGATCGATACCAAATTGATTGTATGAGTTATTCAGTTTCAACGTAATAATGAATAGCAAAAATAATGTCAAAGTCCGGGTAGGCACCGCAAAATTTAAGCCAAGAGAGGATACCAAAATACCCCCTATATCGCTCTGAACAAACCGGTAACTTCGTAATAAACTCTTATTATAAGTATATCATTATAAGTATGACCCAAAATACTAAATACTCGGAGCCATGGGGAACCTAACGGGTTACCAGGGCTGCGGCTCGAAGTGCAGGAGTAGGAACGGAGGTGGTTTTTAGTCAGTAAGAGTCTGACACTCACTCCCACTTCACCCAGGCGAGAGAAGTCATTCGATGATTTACCCCGTTAAAAAAATTAATACTATAAAATTATGTTCCTAAAAAAATCTTAATACGTAGATACAGGTCACTCCAAGAATCTACGTGAAGTCACTAGCAATTCCAGTTAAGCTCACAAGTTCATCATCATTGCTAAAAACTGATTTACTATTCTCAGCCTTCTCGCGATTACAATAGAGGTGATAATTCCCTGTTTATTTTGCACGATGCGATGACCGTGCAAGATTGTAGGAGTCTAAAATGTATGGACGATTCGAATTACGAACACAGTTGGCCAGACCACGGAGTGAAGCGGTCGTGTAGTGACGGTGTATAATGAAACTGTGATATTCTTAATTCGAAAATTTAAATTAATAATTTAGTAATAAAAAATAAAAATGAATTTTATATTCGTGGCCATTTTGGCTGTCAGTGCCTGCGTTGTAAATGGACGTAAGTGGACTTTTTGCTAGTTATTTTATATTTTAATATGTTTGTTTTAAGGTTTTTGTTGAGGAAAAATCGTTATTATGTTAATGTTTAGACGTTACGTTATATTGTATCATTCTAAATAATGTACCGGTTTTTAAATTTAAAGCGTCTACCTACAAAAATGATTTTGAAAATACCTTATTATTGTTATAACGGTAAGTACAGTATTTAACCGAAATAAAACGTGTTCGGAATTAAGTTCGGTTATTATAATAGTATTTTGAATAGTGCAATTGAATGTGTATGATAAATAGTGTTAAACTTGTCTAATATCTATATTTATACCGGTGCGAGCGCCGGCAAAATCATAAAAGATATCATTAACTTTTTATTATTACAACTAAAAAACGATATTTATGCTACAAACGTACAAAAATAAATTAAAAACTAATATAAGAAAGCATATTTTTTATTGGAAACAAAATAAAAAGTAACAGCTATTATTATACCCTATTAGAATAAGAATAAAAGCGAAAATTCGTTATCACTATCATAAGTTTTATTTAATTTGAATTGGGTGGGGTAGATGACCCCTTACTAATCTCGATACTTAGGAGTATATCATGCCAGTACCTTATCTTAAGAGACACTTTCAGTTAGGAAGGAAGAAATTATTTAGTATCTAGTAGTACTTTTAAAAAAAATCTTCCTCCAGTTTTTGCTAATCCTATATGAATATAGGAGTCTTCAAATACCTTCAATTGCATATCAAAAAGTGTGTTATAAAAGAATGCCTAAAATATTGGTCCATTATTCCTAATTAAGTCAAAATCAACACTCAGAATTAGGTAACCCAGACTTTTCAAGTCTATTGTTAAAATTATCCAATGAGGGTGACTCAATTGTGTTTCGGATAAACCCTCTTTTAAATAAAAAAGAACATAAATTTGAAATTTAATATCCAAAGATAAAAATGACGTAACTGCCAGCAGCATTATCCAAACAAATCTCGCAGAGGTCACGTACTAAAGTGTGTTATTTAAATAAAAAATCCTGCAACATACACCTATACAAGCGAATGGCGAATAATACACACATACAATCGATTAGCTACAAGAGTACAAGAATCGATATTATTCGAACATTTTACAAATTGAGTGAACATAATAAGTACATGCTGATTAAATTCATATTTGTTTTACATATATTGAGTATGACAATGTGTTCGTGATAAGAATATGAGCGTAAGTAGAATTATAACAAAACCGGGATTTGTAAACTAAAATATATTTCCACCCACAATTTGGTATCACGATTGTTAATTTTAGAATAAATAGGCACTGAATTCATTTTTGAATTGTTTGTCGGTTTTTATTGTTGGCTTTTTATTATTTTATTACTTAAATATTTAACTGTACCTATTTGATCTCATTATTGTTCCTACTTAGATAAATATTTTTAATTGTGTATTTAGTGATATGTAGACGATTTGGTAGATATCTGTTAGTCTATATTGTTGTAAATTATAAATAAATAAATAATCAATAACTCTTCACTAGAATCAATTTGATGATAACTGCATCAAAATTTTATCAGTAGTTTTGAGATCATGTGAGAATCAGTAGAGATTTTTTTTAATTATTTGAAAAATGTGGGTGGTATGTAAACACTAGGAAAAGTGTAAAATAATGGTTAGTACACAGATCTCATAGGAAACTGAACATTTTCTAACCAGTTACAACTCATTATGCGATTATTAAGGAAGCAAAACAGTGCAATGAGCATGTAGTTTTTGTAATATACAATGCTTTGTTGTTACTGTCTACCCCCATTGAACAAAAACATAGAAAACTTTATACATCTAATAAACGATTACTATATTACCTTCACACTAATATTAAACAAGTGAAAGTTTCTTTGTCTGGATGTTTGTCCGTCAATCACTCAAAGTCAAAGTCAAAGCATTTATTTCAATTAAACCATAGTTTGGTACTTTTGAAACGTCAACAAATACAAAATAAATAATAGTCTGTCAGTCAGTCCGTCAGTGAAACTAGGTGAAGCTAGGTGCTCATTCCAAAAAGTAGATTCGAATGGAGAAGAACGAGCAAGAAACTCCATTCGTTACTCTTTTTAAAAATTAAAAAAAATAATAAAAATCTTGAAGTCCAACATGGCGCTCACATATGCATACTGACAATCCATAGAATTAGTGCTTCTATACAAGAAAAGGAAACTCTTTGTTTCAACTTCTTTCACTCTGAAAGTATTGAACGGATTTTGATAAAATTTGTTATGGGCTGATTTAGGTGATAGGGTTTGTATCCCAATCAAATACAGCAATGAGATAAAACAGGAATCATATTTTACACGGACGAAGTCGCGGGCAACAGCTAGTTACTTGTAAATTGAAGCGACGTAATGTTAAAACCGAAAAGGTAAAACGTATCTAATGTTGTAGGTAGCATTAAAATTTGTGACCATCCTGTATGAAACTTTAAAGTTCAATCACCCTCACTTTTAAAAATTACAAAAAAAAAAACAGTAAACCTAATCAGCTGATTATAGCACCAAATCAGGCCATTTTTCTCTATGGGTATCTTCAAGGCCCGAGTGAATAGGTTGCTTATGGGACGACGACGACGTGTCCATCATAGACCGCATCATCGCTTACCACCAGGCGAGTGGCCAAATACTGCTGTGTTTCTAATATAAAAATAATTCTTTCATAAACTACATATAAAGATACCGATTTCAACCACCGCTTTTTTGAGGTCGGTTAATTAATATACTAAAACCTTTTCCTAAGTGTAACAAACGCTTTTCTAAAAACTGCGTCAGAATCGCTTCAGCCAATCGTGAGATAATCACGCACAAACATACATACATACAGGTCAAACAGAGAACCTCATTTTTTCCGAAGTCGGATAAAAATGAATAAAAAGCTAATATAACAAAAATCCGAACATCCTCCTCCTATTTTTAGAAGTCGGTAAAAAGGGGTAAGCGGGTATACCGAAGATTAACTTTCATATGAATGCAGATTTAACAGGAAAAAGTATCGGTATCTGTTTAGCAATTTAAAATTAATATATTTGTTTATATTAATAGGGTAATTAAAGCTTGTTATGTAAATATTATGAGGGTATGACCTCGATAAATAAGATACGTAGTATGATAATTCATAGACGAGTATTAGAATGTTAGAATTATTGTGTTAAGACGTTCTGATAAAAATAAGAGACTGAATTTCTGTTTAACCCTTTGAGTATAAAGTTAACTCTTTGAGTACCGTCATTATAGACACAATTAAAGAACAATAGTTTGCGGTCACCGGTGTCCTCGCGGTGTTTGTCAGTTTAATTAGAAAGAAAAAAAATATAAGCACCTTGTGTGTAACGATTTTACGTCGAAACTGCTAAACATAATTTGATAAACGGTACAGGAATAGACGGAAAAAAAATTACAAAACAAGAATTGAAATTTTTGTTATTATGTATTTATTTTTCTAATAACAATTTAATTAATTGAACTACAAACGTTTATGAGTGTTTCGAATTAATTTGACATTAATTAAGAATGTATTCTCAGTCACCTTCATTAATTCTGACTAGATAAAGCAGTCAATCAAAAGATTATGTAAAACCAGTTTTAGCTAAAGCAAATTAATAATGTTAGTTTATCAAAATTATGATTACTTTAAAAATAAAACATCTTGATTACATTTTTTTATGTTAGATGTTGGCCTACACTAGGATTTTCTCCTGTGTCGTAGGTACGTTTACAAACATTCAAGTTCACATACATATGACACCCAGACCTGAAGTAACAATTTGTGGTTCACACATTAGACTTGCTTTGAATCAAACCCGCGACATGTTGCCCAGCTTCTCTGCACTAACCGTGCCGTCAATAGAGACAATACCTCTAGGTGTGCTCCGATTATTTTATCATACATCAAAATCAAAAGAAATACAACAAAAAAAATTTAATCACAAGAACAGTATTGTTGAAGTAACTATACCTATTGCTAACGAAGATTTTGAGAAGTGTACATACATGTCCTATCTTCAGTTGAGCAATTTTGATATACATAGCTGACAAATATAAGTAGAAAAGGTTTTATTGCACACTATTCGTACCCACCTCACTCACATAGAAACAAATAGCCGAAAGAAAAGAAATCTACAAAAATAAACTTTATAATAGACAGGACAGGATACAATTTTCAAAATTCCGAAACCACTTTTTTGCTATCGGATTATCACACACTGACATCATAATGTCAATGTGACCGGCGACCTTTCCTACAATATTGAAGTTGAAGATAAATTATATGACGCATCGAGTTTACAATCTAAGTAATATGGTTAGATCACAATTAAACTCAGAATGATATAATCTTACTTCTACATATTCGTGTGAAAAGTTTGTTTATTTGTCCTTTGTCACGTCACAAAACTCAAAAACTCAAAAGCCTTTATTTCAATTAACTCGTCGAGTACCGTATTTATAGACACAATTAAAGAACAATAGGTTGCGGTCACCGGTGACCGCTTGGTGATTGACAGTTTAAACCATAATTTGGTACTTTTGAAACGTCAACAAATATGAAATAAATAATAGTCTGTCAGTCTGTCCGTCAGTGAAACTAGGCGCTCGTTCCAAAATGTCGATTCGAGTGGAGAAGAACGAGCAAGAAACTACATTCGTTACTCTTATAAAAAAGAAGTCTGTTTTACATTGTTTTGATACATATTCCAATATTGTACACACATGTGAGAATAATGTAAAGACATACCTGACGCAACATACAAAGAACAGAACGTACTAAAATAAAAATAAAAAACCAAGAGAAAACAAATACATATCTTAAGTCAGACATGGTCCTATGACACAGAATGAAATAACGGATTCGTTAAAATGCTGAAGAGGCAATGTGGACCAAACAGCGGACGGGAAGCTAGTAATAGCAACATTGTGCAGAAATAACGTAACTTAAGTTGTATTTTCCTTAAGTA